TATCCATCTGAAAAAACTGAAACAAGACCCATACCTCACACCATGCACAAAAACTAACTCAAAATGGATCAAAGACTTAAATATAAAATCGAAAATGATAAAGATCATGGAAGAAAATCAACCACTTATGCTCATCAAAAGACTTCACCAAAAGAGTCAAAAGACAACCTACAGACTGCGAAAGAATTTTTGGCTACAACAAATCTGATCAGTGTCTAATGTCTAAAACCTACAAGATACTGCAAAACCTCAACAACAAAAAGACAAATAACCCAATTAAAAAATGGGCAAAGGATATGAACAGGCACTTCACCAAAGAACATATTCAGGCGACTAACTGACACATGAAGAAATGCTCAGCATCATTAGCCATCAGAGAAATGCAGATCAAAACTACAATGAGATATCATCTCACCCCAACAAGGCTAGCATTAATCCAAAAAACACAAAAATTATAAATGCTGGAGAGGTTGTGGAGAGACTGGAACACTTATACACTGTTGGTGGGAATGTAAAATGGTACAACCACTTTGGAAATCGATTTGGCGCTTCCTTATAAAGCTAGAAACAGAAGTACCATACAATCCAGCTATCCTGCTCCTTGGAATATATCCTAGAGAAATAAGAGCCATCACACAAATAGATACATGCACACCCGTGTTCATTGCAGCACTGTCACAATAGCAAAAAGATGGAAACAACCTAGACACCCATCAACAGAAGAACGGATAAACAAATTATGGTATATCCACACAAATCTACGCAACACTGAAGAACAATGAAGCCATGAAATATAACATGGAGGAAGCTGGAGGTCATTATGCTGAGTGAATTTAGCAGTCACAGAAGGACAAATATTGTATAAGAATACTATTATAAGAACTCAAGAAAAGGTTTAAACACAGAAAAAAACATTCTTTGATGGTTACGAGGGTGGTGAGGGAGGGTGAGGGTTACTTACTAACTAGATAGTAGATAAGAATTATCTTAGGTAAAGGGAAGGACAGCACACACTACAAGGAAAGTCAGCACAACTGGACTAAACAAAAGCTAAGAAGTTTCCTGAATACAATCAAACACTTTGAGAGACAAAATAGCAGGGGTAGGGGTCTGGGGACCATGCTTTCAGGGGACATCTAGGTCAACTGGCATAACAAAGTTTATTAAGAAAATGTTCTGCGCCCTATTTCGATGAGTGGCATCTGGGGTCTTAAAAGCTTGCAAGCGGCCATCTAAGATGCATCAATTGGTCCCAACCACCTGGAGTAAAGGAGAATGAAGAACACCAAAGACACAAGGAAAATATTAGCCCAAGAGACAGAAAGGGCCACATACACCAGAGACTTCATCAGCCTGAGACCAGAAGAACTAGATCGTGCCCGGCTACCACCAATGACCACCCTGACAGGGAACACAACAGGGAGTCCCGGATAGAACTGGAGAAAGGTGGCGTGCAGAACTCAAATTCTAGTAAGAAGACCAGACTTAATGGTCTCACTGAGACTCAAGGAACCCAGAAATCATGGCTCCTGGATTCTCTATCAGCTCAGAAATAAAACAATTTCTGAGAACTCCTGAGACAGGGATTGGACTGGACTGCGGGACATAAAGTGATACTCGTGAGGAGCATGTCTCTTAGCTGAAGTAGATACCAGAGACTAAATGGGCAGCTTCTGTCTGGAGGTGAGACGGGAAGGAAGAGAGGATTAGGAGCTGGCAGAATGGACATGGGGAATCAGGGGTGGAAAGGAGCATGCTGTCGCAGTATGGGGAGAGCGCTTAGGGTCACATAACAATGTATGTACAAATTTCTGTATGGGAGACTAACTTGAAATGTAAACTTCATTTAAACTACAACAATAAAAAAAAAATTTAAAAAAAAGTAAAGTAAAACAAAATAAACAAACAGTATGGTTGCTGGAGAACTTCTTGAAAAGCAGACTACAATTGCCCAAAGAAAAAGAATACATTTCAATTCTAGGCCCTCCTGCAAATTTTGTAAAATCTGTGGTAAATCTTTCTTAGCCACCCACTTTCAAATCTAAGCTCACCATATAACCAGGGGCAGTTAACAAAACTGTAGACTCTGCTTGAGTAACAGTTATACTCTCATTCACAAAGTATCAGGTAATATGATAGTAATACATTTACAATTAAACCAAGAGTCATACAGTTCACTGAAGAAAACCCAGCAAGGATCCTTGGCCCTAGGTGACCTCACTACTCTCATGATCTCTAACATCTACCTGTTGTTATTGTTTGGTGCCGTACAGCTGATTTCAACTCATAAAGACCCCGTATGACAGGGTAGAACTACCTCATACAGTTTCTTGGCTGTAATCTTTACAGAAGTAGATTGCCAGGTCTTTCTCCTACAGAGCCACTATCTATATATCAATAATTCCCAAACCATTATGTCCAGTCTCAACTTTTCTCCTTTCCTGTATGTCTGAATTTCCAATTGTTTGGACATCCTATAAGCACCTCACAATTAATTGAACTAACCAAACTAATTACCTTTCCCATGAGATCTGTCCCTTTTCTTTTGTTGTCTATCTCAATTAATGGTATCATCATCATCCACCCAGTCACACAAGCTGGTTATATCTGATTCTATTCTTATCACTATTATCCAATCAGTCACCAAGTTCTTTGGATTCTGTATCCTAATTCCTGTTCTTCATCCCTACGGTCACTGTTTTCATTCAAACCCTCATCATCTCTCACCTGGAACACTGCAGTTGCCTCCCAATTGATCTATCCCCTACCCAGGTGATAAATTATTTTTCTAAAATACAAATACGATCAAGTGATACTCCTACTTAAAAACATTTGATGGCTTTTTTACTGCCTACCAGAAAAAGTCTAATCTCCTAATCATCACACAGAAGTCTCTAAACACTATGACTCTAACTTACCACTCAGACCTCATCTTCTGCCACTACCCCCTACATTCCCTATTTTCCAGATGCACGCAATTTTTTGCCATGCCCCAAATGTTTTATCTTCTTTCTTGTGGCCATGTTAGTACATGATGTTCCCTCTATCCAGGATGACCTTTTACACATGGTAAGCTTGTACCATTCATTGAGACCCAGTTCAAATACCAGCAGCTCAAATGCCATCCCTCTGTAAAATCTTTTCTAATTCCCTAAGGCAGATTTCATTATTCCCTCCTCAGTGCTCTAAAGCATTTTGTATATGCCTCTATTACAGTACTTATCAAACTATTGTAATTACCTATTCTATTCACCTTTATATCTCCCAACAGTGCCTAAATACTGTCTGACACATTGTATGCCCTTAATAAGTGTTGAGGAATGACTGAGTTCTAACTCCCACCTTATTATGAGCATCTGTATGCCGGATGACATTCCTCAGGAGGACTTTCCCCAGTGGAACCCGAGACATTCTTCAATCTGAAATGAATCAATAAGTAATATTTAATAATAATATTTTTCTTTATTACTTTATTTATTAAAATTTTATAAAGAAGCATGAGGTAAGGGAAAGATCACTGAAGTAGGAGTCGGAAGTCCTGAGGAATAGTTTTTCCTTCACCATTAAAAAGGGAAAATGCCTGACCACATTAATGTGAGGATGAAAGGAGATTGTTAAAATTCTTTGAAACTGCACAAGATTGCACAAAATTAAGTACTTTCATGAGCACCATTTCATTTAATCCTCACAATTCTGTTTTATTTGAGGCAAGCAACTTCATCCCTAAGTTCTTCCTTTAAAGTCAAGCTTGCCCCAGGCCACAAAGTCACAGGCAAACAAGGTAAATCAATGCACAGATAGAAAACAACTCTCGAATCAGAAAATTAGTTTGCGATGAAGTAAATACCCAGATTTGAGAGTGTCAGTGACCGCAAATGTCAACCGTAACAAAAACGCCTAAAAACATTACATGCAGAGATAACCTAAATTTCTCTATTCGGGAGAATTTTATTTCCTATTTTATAAAGAAGCCTCCAAAAACTAGTTGACAAGGATATTCACGTACGTAGCTAACAGGGGCTTTGAGCAACCACCCCACCGCTCACTCACCCCTCGATCCTGAGGAAATCAGGCATCTTGTTAGTGGGAGACGAAGAACCACTCCATTACAAGATCTCCTCCGACCCAGGAAGCCAAGGAGTCAGGGCTAAAAGGCAGCTCTGGAGTTTCACCCGAGTCCTTCGTGAAAACGCAGCCTTCCCACCGGTTATTCTGCCCTCACCCGTGGCCCAGGCCACGGCTGCCTTTCCCCCCAGCCCAGACCGAAGGGCAAATCTCCCTCCTGGACTGAGGCCAGAGGCTGCGCCGGCGCAGAATCCGGAAGGCCCCGTTGGCTGGTGCATTCCCCGCTCAAGCTCCGTTGGGATGGACCCCAGGGGTTGGGTTTCGCTCCCCAGAACGGATGGGGGCGCTTTGGACGGGCACGGCCTTTAGCCTGAGCCCTAGGCAGTATCTAGGATGTCTGAAGGGAGGTTTCAGGTCTGCGAGTGGAAGACAGAAAACAACCCCATCTTTGTCACCGGGATCCCTGCCCCTCTGCGGCCTTGGAGTTCCTGGTAACCTTCCCTCCAAACGCCCTCCCCACACAAACACACACAAACACACCCATACCGTGCGCCGCAGCCTCGCGTGGTGGGGGTGGGGGGAGGAAGCGATCTAAGAGGAAAAGGAGTAGGCGTCCCTTTCAGGCCGGAAGTCGTGCTCCTGAGTAATTCTTCCCAACATCGGGAGACCCAGAATCTGCCCCAGGGAGGATTTCCAAGACGCCCCAGAGATCGATGGGTGCAGAACGGAGGCAGGCGCTTTCCTGGAAAATAAGTGGGTCTGGCCGAGCTGAAAAGCAAGCCCAGCACTGGAATTGGATGTGAAGAGAACTTCTGCCTGGAGCTTCCCGGACCCAATTAAGCGTTGCACTCAGTCGTTACTCGGGTAACTGGCGTCGCGGTTTGTGAAGGAACCAAGAGGGCAGGTGGGTTCGTTGGTATCTGGAGTAACTGCCCATTAGTTAAATTTCGTATTTAGCCTAACCCTAATACATTATTCTAAGAATCCAAATATCCCCTTTTCCTCATTGGGTGGATAATGTGGAACACCTCTCCAGTGGGATATTATTATTATTACTCTCGTGTGGTGTTTACCAAGTGTTCCAGTCTCATTGTTTATATTAATTTACTTAATCCTCACAATTACCCTATGAGATAGATGTTATAGTTTTCGTTTTCAGGAGAATAAACTGAGGCACATATATAAGTTAATTGTTCAAGGTCACATAGCTAGTAAGTGATAGAACTAAGATTAGAAGCTAGGTATTCTGGCTCCAAAGTCCCGGCTGTCAACTATTAAAATTGAGGAAATCTCATATGAACTTCACACAGCACACAGCTTGGCAATTTCAGGAGTGGGGAGGACTCAATCGGCCAATACCCAAGGTTTGGAACAAGAAGACCACCAGGAAACTAGGCTGAAAATGACTACTCTGCCCTGTATGTAGTTGAGGTTCTAGGAAGAAGTAAGGCCTTGTTTGAGAGGAGAACTTGAGAACTTAGGAAGAGGTGCTAGATAATCAGAGAATAAAGACAAGATGCAATGGTGCTAATCTACAGTCTTTGAGACAACGGTGTTAAGACCTCACCAAAACAATCCTTACCAGTTCCTTCTCCCTAAGAAGAAATGAATCAATAGCCTCAAACTTTTTCCCCATTTAAGTCTTGTCTTTTCATAGGTTTAAGAGGCCCATTCACCATCATTAATCATGGAAGCATCCTCAAAGGATCTTCTCATTCAAGTTACTCAATTCTGGAACCTCCTAGATGATCTGGCTGAAAGTGACCCTGAGCGCTATGAGAATTTCATTCAACAGCAGCTGAAAGAAGGGAAAGAGCTCTGGGCTGCCCCAGAACCACAATTCTGTCTACAGACCAGGATCCTGGTGTGTAGAGTTGGTGCCAGGGATGGGGAGGTCCTAAATGAAATGCTCCTAGAATTACCAGAGAATAGCTTACTCTTAGGTATTGCTACTTTAACACAAAACTTGAGGAAAACTGTCATTCTAAATAGAAAATGAAAAGTAGTGTAGAAGATTATGTTGAAGGAGTAAATGTGGGAAACTCATACTTAATATATTTTGTTGTTGTCAGGTGCTGTCGAGTTTGTTCTGACTCATAGCAACCCTGTGCACAACAGAAGGAAACACTGCCTGGTCCTGTGCCATCCTCACAGTTGTTGCTATGCTTGAGCCCATTCTTGCAGCCGCCATATCAGTCCATCTCGTTGAGGGTCTTCCTGCTTTCACTGACCCTCCACTTTACCAAGCATGATGTCCTTCTCCAGGGACTGATCCCTCCTGACAACGCATCCAAAGTATGTAAGACGTAGTCTCACCATCCTTGCTTCTAAGGAGCATTCTGGTTGTACTTCTTCCAAGACAGATTTGTTCTTTCTTTTGGCAGTCCATGGTATATTCAATATTCTTCGCCAACACCACAACTCAAAGATGTCAATTCTTCTTCGGTCTTCCTTATTCATTGTCCAGCTTTTGCATGCATATGACGTGATTGAAAACACCATGGCTTGGGTCAGGTGCACCTTAGTCCTCAAGGTGACATCTTTGCTTTTTAACACTTTAAAGAGATCTCTTGCAGTTGATTTGCCCAATGCAATGCGTCCTTTGATTTCTTGACTGCTGTTTCCATGGGTGTTGATTGTGGATCCAAGTAAAATGAAATCCTTGACAACCTCAGTCTTTTCTCCATTTATTATGATGTTGCTTATTGGAGTAGTTGTGAGGATTTTTGTTTTCTTTATGTTGAGCTGTAATCCATACTGAAGGCTGTGGTCTTCGATCTTCATAAGTAAGTGCTTCAAGTCCTCTTCCCTTTCAGCAAGCAAGGTTGTGTCATCTGCATAATGCAGGTTGTTAATGAGTCTTCCTCCAATCCTGATGCCCTGTTCCTCTTCATATAATCCAGCTTCTCGGATTATTTGTTCAGCATACAGATGGAATAGGTATGGTGAAAGGATACAACCCTGACGCACACCTTTCCTGACTTTAAACCATGTAGTATCCTCTTGTTCTGTTCAAACGACTGCCTCTTGATGCATGTCCAGATTCCTCATGCACACAATTAAGTGTCCTGGAATTCCCATTCTCCAAAATGTTATCCATAATTTGTTATGATCCACGTAGTCGAATGCCTTAGCATGGTCAGTAAAACACAGGTAAACATCTTTCTCGTATTCTCTGCTCTCAGCCAGGATCCATCTGACATCAGCAATGATATCCCTGGCTCCACGTCCCCTTCTAAATCCAGCTTGAATTTCTGGCAGTTCCCTGTCGATATATTGCTGCAGGAGTTTTTGAATGATCTTCAGCAAAATTTTGCTTACATGTGATATTAATGATATTCGATAATTTCCACATTCAGTTGGATCACCTTTCTTGGGAATAGGCATAAATATGGATCTCTTCCTATCGGTTGGCCAGGTAGCTGTCTTCCAAATTTCTTGGCATAGAGGAGTGAGCACTTCTGGCGCTGCATCCATTTGTTGAAACATCTTAATTGGTATTCTGTCAATTCCCGGAGCCTTGTTTTCTGCCAGTGCCTTCAGTGCAGCTTGGATTTCTTCCTTCAGTACCATCGGATCCTGATCATATGTCACCTCCTGAAATGGTTGTACATCAACCAATTCTTTTTGGTATACTGACTCTGTGTATTCCTTCCATCTTCTTTTTTTTTTAAAATCATTGTGCTTTAAGTGAAAGTTTACAATTGCGGTTAGTCTGTCATACAAAAATTTTTACATACACTGTTTTGTGACCCTAGTTGCTTTCCCTATACTGTGACAGCATACTCTTCCTTTCCACCCCGGATTTCCCATGTCCATTCAACCAGCTCCTGACCCTCTCTGCCTTCTCATCTCGCTTCTGAGCAGGAACTGCCCGTTTAGTCTCATGTATCTACTTGGCTAAGATGCACACTCATCACAACTATCATTTTATGTCCCATAGTCCAGTCTAATCTTTGTCTGAAGAGTTGGCCTTGGGAATGGTTTTAGTTTTGGGCTAACAGAGATTCCAGGGGCCATGTCTTCCGGGGTCCCTCCAGTCTCAATCAAACCATTAAGTCTGGTCTTTTTACTAGAATTTGAGTTCTGCACCCCACTTTTCTCCTGCTCCGTCAGGGACTCTTTGTTGTATCCCTGTCAGGGCGGTCATTGTGGTAGCCGAGCACCATCTAGTTCTTCTGGTCTCAGGCTGATGAAGTCTCTGGTTTATGTCCTTCCATCTTCTTTTGATGGAATATATTTTAATATATTTTAGTGATCTCAAAATGAACCATTTTTTCTGCTAAAAGAAAAAGCAATGTAATGATTTAGTAGAGAATAATATAGTTGGAGCTTTTTCAAATAAAAACTTATTTGGTTTAGGAGGGTAAACTAAACCCATCACCGTCAAGTTGCTTCTGACTCATAGCGACCCTATAAAACAGGGTAGAACTGCCCTATAGGGTTTCCAAGGAGCAGCTGGTGGATTCGAAGTGCCGACCTTTTGGTTAGCAGCCGAGCTCTTAACCACTGCACCACCAGGGCTCCTTAGGAAGGTCAGGGGTGGTGAAATACGTGGTTAAGCAAATTCACCCAGAACAGCTGCTTAGCTTAATTCCTCCTCTTCCCTCCCCCTTCACTCCACTTTCTGAGTACAGCAACTGAATTCTTCGTGAAAAAACAGCAGCTTTGGAGAAATCAAATGGGAGGAGTAGAATTTATTAAAAACAGTTTAATAATTTTAAACTGTATTATACATAGAATGACTTATTTCGAGTCTAAAGTTCTCCCCTTCCAATGCTATGATGAGTTGTCTTTAGGATATTATTTAAAAATAAACTAGTTTTTGATATATGCAGAATTATTTGTTTTTCACAGATGATGACATTCTTTGATGCTTCTGAGGGTAGGGAGGGAGGGAGAGGGTTATTCAGTAACTAGATAGTAGACAAGAATGATCTTAGGTGAAGGGAAGCACAGCACGCACTACAGGGAAGTCAGCACAACTGGACTAAACCAAAGCTGAGAAGCTTCCTGAATACAAACCAAACACCTTGAGGGACAGAGTAGCAAGGGCGGGGGTCTCAGATCATGCTTTCAGGGGACATCTAGGTCAATTGGCATAACAAAGTTTATTAAGAAAATGTTCTGCATCCTACTTTGGTGAGTGGCGTCTGGGGTCT